GATATCTCAGGAATGGTGATTCTTAGAAAAAAAGTGTAAAACCATTTTTGTAGATAATTTTAAAATCTATAATTTTTGTCTGGGCTACTTTTTTGAAAAAACTTTCCGTTTTCGAAAAAAAATTAAAAAACGTCAAATTTTGACCATTGACCCCGAATAACTTTTCTAGCACACATGGAATCGATGAGGACTTTTGACACTTTATTCCTAATGGTGTACCCAAGGTCTCCACCAAAATTTAGCTCTGTCGGAATTTTTGTTATTTGACCACTATTTTTATGACTAATTTGACCGGACTATAATAAAAGTTTAGCGTAAAAACTTTGGTTTTAAAGACTACATCCAAAAATGCAAAGAAACATATGGTATTTCATTTAAAAAAACACAATTTTGTATCGTAACTTATTTTTAGGACATGCTGTTTGGTTAAAAATAATTTTAGGTGATGCACCAGATTAGTAGCGTTCAATGTCCTATACATTTTTTTTAATCTTACCATTTATAGGTAACTAATAAACTTTTTCAACACGCTGGCACACCCTGTATATTTTATTCAATTTTTATCGAAAAAAAATTCGATATAAGTTGCCATTTTGAAATAAAAAATCTTAGAACTCAAAAACAAAACAAAATTTCATTCTCAAAACACGATCACATTTTTTATAGTACTTTCATTTTCTTAATTATTGTTATTTTTTGAAAATAAATAAATTAAAAAAACGCTATCCCTACGCTATATGTAGATAAACAAAAAATAAAGAAAATTGTTAATGCCTTGTTTTAAATTAAAAAATAGTTCGAATTATTATTAGAAACACTCTAGATGTCATGTTTACACAGAATAGTTCAATAGCTCGTAGAAATTTCATAAATTTTCTGTTTATCACTTTTCATTAATTACATATTGAGTGAAACGATATAATATTATTAACATTAGTATTTATCTATAAGATAAAAATAAATTCTTTTTTAGGGTCATGACACTACAGCTTCTGCAATCAGCTTTACATTATTCTGTTTAGCCAACAGTTCAGAAAGTCAGGTACTTATAAGCCTATGAGCCATCAAAAATTAATTAAATGTAAGGTTTTACATGTTCTAGAAAAAGACGTTTGAGGAGCAACAAGCTATTTTTGGTAACACTCAAAATGTCACTGCTTCATATGCAGATTTACAAAATATGAAATATCTGGAACAAGTCATAAAAGAGGCTTTACGTTTATACCCATCGGTGCCATTTTATGGTAGAGAAATTACCGAAAATGTTGAATATGGTTAATATTTAACTCAATTTGCTATAATTTTTATCTTAAAACAATTTCAGATGGCAAGTTATTACCAAAAGGAGACATTTTATTAATTTTTGCTTTTGGAATACATCGGAACAAAAAATATTTTAAAAATCCGGAAAATTTTGATCCTGATAGATTTAACAATATGGAACATAACTCACCCTATGCTTATATACCTTTCAGTGCAGGACCGAGAAACTGCATTGGTAACACTTAAAAAAATATTAAAGATAATTATTAATGTTATGATTAAAGGCCAAAAATTTGCAATGCTGGAAATGAAAAGTACTGTTTCAAAAATAATCAGACAATATAAATTGTTGCCCACAACACCACAACATGAATTGGAATTAGTGGGCGAAACGATTTTAAAATCGACTAATGGAATCAAAATACGTCTAAGGCTGAGATGAAATATTGTTTAAAAATTAAAATTTATTGTATCGTGAAATAAATAAAAGTCTCAATAAATCGCCTTAAAGTAAAAAAAATCACATATCCAATTTAGACATTTTCATAGTTCAGGTGCCAAAAATTTTCAAAAACAGGTTTCTACCTTTATCAAATTAGATACGAGTAAAAATAGATAAGACGTGAGTTTTAAAGTACGAATAGTAAACAAATTTTTATGTAGAGTTATAAATAAAATGATATTTTGACTAATTGTTCTAAAGTATAGTTTATAGTAAAGTAAAGTTTCTAAAGTATAGTTTAATTTTTTTTTAATTATTTGACTTAAACTCTAATTTTCCTCAAACATTACTATATTGTTTCAACTGAAACATTAAAACTTTGATTTGTCTAAAATAATACATATAGGGTCAGATGGAGCAATTGCAATAACGGGGCAATTCCATAAACGTACCAAAGCTGTATTTCCTTAAAAAAAAGTCGATGCTAATCTTTGATCACTTGATCCTAAATTCAAAAAAAAAAATTGCACCAAAGTTTAAAAACAAAATTTTATTTTAAGGATTTTTTTTAAATTATTTTTATCTTTTTATCTTATTATTTTTATTTATAGTCGCATCTAAGTATTTCTGGCACCTTTCTTTGAGTTTTTGTGCTACTTTTTGAGCGGCCTGAATACAGAGTGCGCCAGATCTCGCGCCCCAGAGAAAAATTCCATATAAGGTAAGATACCAGGAACATGGAAAAAATGTTAAAAAAAAAATATCTGTAAAAATTTCGAAGTTATGAGAGTTTAAAGTTTGCACTTTGACTCTATTTATTTCTGTTGAAAAAATAATTTTCCAAGTTTTTTGCTATAGGCTATTAAAAAAGGAAACAAGGAAGCTGTATCCTAAATTGTAACTCTGTTCAATGTTATTTGTGGCTTTTATTGGCAAAATTTTTGTACCTTTACTAAATAATTGTAAAAAAAACATATAGAAGATCATCAGTATCATTAAATAGACATAAAAAAATGTCAAATGTCAAAAAATAAATGTCAAAATTTTTTGACAGAGAATTTTTTAAACATTTTTTTCATGTTCCTGATATATTACCTTACTTGAAAATTTTCTTTGGGGCGCGAGTTCTGGCGCAGCCCTGTATACAGTATGTCCCCGGACTCAATGACTTGTAAAAAATACAATATTTTTGATTTAAATTTGTATTTTTTGGAGTTCAGCCCTGCTTGGTTCAAGATTAATTTCTAACATAATTTTAGTTTTGAAAATTCAAGTATGTCTTAAAAAAATTTGAAAAACCAATTTTTTGTATAGTAAAGTGCTTTTTATGAGGCAAATACGACAAAGAGTTGTTTAGAATCAACATCTAGGTCCATATACCAAATTCCAAAATCATTGGCCAACTATGATTTTTAATTTTTTTTTGGTAAAAAAAATCGTAAAACTGTTAAAAAAAATAAAAAAGTATTACCTTTTTTGTAAATTTCATAAAAATGTTTTTATTCATAATAAAAATCTTTGATTTGGGAATAAACAAAAAAATTAAATATCAAACTGGCCGATGATTTTAAAATTTGGTATACGGGCCTAGATGTTAATTCTAAACAACTTGTCTTAATAACTTGGTGTCGCATTTGCCACACAAAAAGGCACTTTACAAAAAAAAAATAAGTTTTTAACCAAGCAGGACTGAACCCAAAAAAAAAAAAATTCAAATTTAAATCGCAATTTTTTCATTTTTTATGAGTCATTTCACCTATCCATCCGAGGACACACTGTATGTACTTCTTTTACATTTATTGAATGTAAGAATGATTTTTTTTAATATTCCACTTAAGTTTTTCTAAAACATTGCTATACTAAGCAAAAATTTCCTTACTAAAGTCAGAGAAAAATGTTTAGTTTGGGAGAAATAACAGTTTCATTAAAAAGATTTATTATAAAATTTCACAAATTTTCTAATCTATCTCACCCAAATAAATCTGTTTGTCACTTGCACCCGACACAACAATTGGCTCATTTGGATGAAAGTCAACAGCATTAACACTCCCATTATGTCCAGGCAACTTATAAATAATTCTCCTTGAGGTTGTATCCCAAATATATAGAAATCTATCAGCCGACCCTGAACTCACTTTGGAACCATCTTTAGACCAAGCACATCGCAGAAGATTCTTCTCAAAATTATGTTGATGTCCTGTGAAAACTTTAACGCATCTTTCTTGCGGCGCATATGGCCTTACGTCCCATATCCTCAAACTGTTATCCATCGAATTTGATAATAAATAAGAGCCATCGGGACTCAATGCCAGCCCCGTAACCGTATCCGTGTGCCCCTTAAGAGTGTAAATAATTTCGTGGTTGCGAATATCCCACACTTTTATGTCATTATCAATCCCCCCACTGAAAATTTGTTCAGCAGTGTCGTTAAATTCAACAGCGGTGACTTGATAATTTGAGTTGAAAGTCGTTACAGATTGCTTCTTGCGAATGTCCCACAATTTTATGGTAGTGTCGTCGCTTCCTGATACCAACATTTGTGGTCCTCGCCTCGCGCCTTGGACTGAATTTACAAAAGTGGTGTGACCCTTATATTTCTTAATCCTTTGACTCGTCGGTAAATCCCAGAGGCCTAGAGTATGATCCGTGCTGGCTGTAAAAATGTTGCTGCCATCTGTGGTGAAGTGGAGCTCCATGACAGCCCCAGTGTGCCCACTCATTACTGACAAGTTTTCACATTCACCATAAACGCTCCAAACAACTAAAATCATATATTTTAAACCAACACAAGTTAGAAATTTTAGTTTCTTACATATTCTACGGTCAAAACCTGATGATGCTAAATATTGACCCTCAGGGTGAAATTCCACCGTGAAAATTTCACCTTCATGGCCTTCCAGTAACATGATGGGTGCAAATAAATTGGAAGTCCTCGCAGGAGCCTAAAATATATTATTTTAGTACTTTTAGAACTAAAATAAGAGCATTACTTACTGCTTGTAAAACCGATTTGTTTTTGTTGGATGTGGCCACTTCATTTTTAGATTTTTTGCTAACGGGGACTAAAGACGACGAATCTTCGGCTCGACGTTTATTTTCAACGACCATTTTAATGTTTTTATGAAAAAAAACCTCTAGAGGAACCTAAATATAACCACACTTTTTAGCGTCAACAAACCGAATTGGAAACAACGCCCCCTGCTGATGCGTACTTGAATTGCGCACAATTTCAATATACACCCTCTTTCAAACGTATAAGACAAACTGTCATTTTGCGCACTTTTCATAATTTTTGTTATAGCTTTCTTGCTCATAACCTTGTCAATGTCTCTTATTTTTGTTAAAACAATAACTTACTGAAGTTGGAAAATGTAATAAATTTGTTTTCTGTTTGTTTGTTTTTTTTTTTTTTAATGTCAATATAATGTAAGCCACGCTTGAAACCAAATTTTAAAGTTTTAGTTGAAATTCATTTTTAGCGTCGATTTTCCTAAACAATAATGTCAGTAAAAAATGTTTTTATACATATATGTTCATTAAATTATTTTGAACTGTTGTCAAAAGTTGTGACAGGTAATAAATTTTATATGCAATGAAGTACTCTATGCAAGTACCCAACTTTTTCAATAATGTCATTTTTGATAGATATGTCCTCAAAAAACAATTGTCTGTTTAAAGTCGGATTTACACAACTCAGTTTTTACAAATTTACATTGGGAAGTGGCCACTATGAATTGACCGCGACTTTATTATATGTTGGTACAGAAAGTATTTAAATGTTTGTTAAAGGAGATAAAATTTAGTTAAAAGTGCTTAATGAATGCGTTTAAACCTCGATTCTGATCTATGTATTTTGTATTCTGCTGTTTTTTTTTTTCAAAAAATAAAATTCATCAAATACCAACCTGGTAATAATTAAGATTATTTCAAGGTTGCCAATCGGTCCGTTTTTCTAACGGAAATGTTACACAATGGTATAGATTTTTCAGCGATAAATTAAACTTTTTCAAAAATACTAACAACATTAAATTTACTAAAACAGTCCGGTTGTTGCATACTGTTAGGTTGGTAATGTTTGCGCGTTTGTATACCTTCTTCGACAATTTTTGCACTCACGTTTTATTGTCCTGTCCAGTCCTGTCATTCCTTTCAAATTCGAATTCAAAACGTACTGTATGGAATATTTTAGTTTAACTCCGTTTAGTTGATTTCTTTTTTACTTTTTGTTTTGTTAAATATGTATTATGTTAAAAAAACTCCATTCATAAATACGTTTGAAAATTGAATTATTTTTTCTGGATCGCGGGTAGTCGTGCAGAGGAACTAAAAGTCCCTAGATATATGTATACATGTCATAAATGAATCATTTTCAGATTTATGTTTATGTCACATTGACAGCATCAATTAAACGAGACAATTATTTCATAAATGTCATCGTTTTTAATTTGTCACTGCAAAATTGATTGTTATTACTTTTTGCTAAGCTGTAATGGTGGATTTATGCTTCATTTAAGATTTAATTCAAGAATTTACATTTAAGAAGATCAATTATGCATTTTCAATGGTAACATACTATCATTTAACATTTAATCTTGGTATTTAAGATTTAATTTAATTTAAGAGTTCCCAACTTGTAACTTTTTATGTTAAATCACAAATAAAATTGATAAATTGTCATTACTAAAATTAATCACACTTGAAAAGTAAAACTATTCACTGAAATACCTAATAAGAATTAATATGGAAGTAGCTGCACTTTTCGAAACTCTTAGAGAATATAATTTATAGATTGTCACAAATCGTCACTAATTTAACAAATGTTTGTCTAAAATACGAGATTTACATCAGTATATCCTTAAATTATGTCCTTTTTGGTTAATTGAAAAGTATAAATTCGAAAATTTAGTAAAATGTCAAATCCGTTAATTCTTAAATTAAATCTTAAATATGGAAGCATAAATCCACCATAGCTCTTTAACGAATGAAGTTAAAAAATATATTTAATTTTTTTTTTGTTAGATTGACATTTTCTGTCATAGTTGACGTCTGGGCGTTGGCTATTGCGACACCTGTGTACATTGTTAAAATAACTCATTTTAATTAATTTTTATTCAAAATATTTACTTCCGTGACTACGGCTTCTGATGCAACTAATCTAATAAAAATATTTAAAATAAGTGCTGCTTAATCAAACAGTAAACTTTACGACACGCAAAGAATAAGATAAATATTTGCGGCATTCTATCAAGTTTGCGCAATTTTCATATTCTGTAAAATGTCTGTGTTAGATGGAAAGAAATAGCAAAATAAACATTTATTAAAGTGGATTAGCACTATTAGCAGATTATTTCAACAATAATAAATAGACACTAAAAATCTACATCATAAAAAAATTAATATCTTGCAATAATATCAACATTATAAATGTATCTGTATGTACATAATTGAACGTAAAAAGTGTTACATTTCACATTTAGACTAGTAAAATTAAAATTAAGTAGAAAAAAGTCCTTCAAGTTTGATGTAATAAACAATTTTGTCTTTGGTTGAATAAAAACACTCAAGTTTTTTCTAATAGTGTCGTCTGAATGGATCTTTAATATATGCCCCACGTTTGGTTTCTTCTCGGATGAAAGTAAAGTAACTAAAGACGACAAGCCACATGTAGACGTAAATAACTGAAAAAATAATTAAATAAAGAAACAAAACTACAATTTTTAAAACACTCACTAACTGAAATGATGCCCAAAACAATCCAAATTGTTCCTTCTATTGATTTACCATTAATATAAAATTGAACGGCGGTGTAAATTACCGAAACTAATAAACCTATTGCCAACATAATAGCTAGAATTACCCAAGGCATCATCAAAAAGGCGTTTCTCTGAAACCCAAATTTAGAATTAAAAAAAATACACCACATTTATTTTACCTTTAAAGTCCCTGCGATTAAGAGTATTGAAATAAGAATAGCCATAGCGAAATTAATCACAATAATAATACGAACTGAAATATAAATAAGTAAATTAAAAAATGCAAATTTCAGTAAACTTTCCATTAACGTACCTACATCCTGTGGAAGCCAATCTAAAACTATTGTTTTAAATTCAACTTGCACTGTGTAAATTACAATAATCCCAATTATTGCCAGAACCTAAAAAAATCATTGCTTTATTGTCTTAAAAAAAATACAACTTACAATTCCGGCTACTCCAGCCACGAGAGTCCCCGTTCTGAGACTTGCACATCCCAAGAATGTCTTCAGTGGTTTCATTTTTCAATTCTGTAGAAAAAATGTGGATTAGAGTCGAAGTGTCGCTATTAAACCGGCTTATTATTAGAGAGGCGCAACCTTAATGAAGTTAATTCGGGTCGGTTGTGTTTGTGCGATAAAAGGGGCGATGAAATTTACTAAACAATGTTGGACTAATATTAATAATAATTTACAAAGTTTATTAACACCACAGTGTTTTGTTACTTACGAACGAAGAGAAGAATTATTACATCAGTGCGTGTTATGAAACTTTTTCATGCTGCATGAGAAAAACGGTTAAAACAATTGAATTTTAGATTAATCAAAAAATTTAGCCCAAAGCTTGTTTACAAAATGAAATTAAACGCAGCTGAATCGTTGCTTCAGTTTCTTCACAATTTTTTAATTACCATTTACTGTAATTATTTAATAGATTCCTAATAAGGATAAAAGCTCTTTATTATAGCTACCTCCAAAAATATACAAGTTAGTAAGAAAACTGCATAAAGAAACATTAATTTCTTTGAATATTGAATTTATTTTCAACAGTAGGTAATTAAACATATACAGAGTGTATACAAAATGGCGCATAAGCTCTTTAATACGCTATAAAAAAGTTCCAATAAATTCTAGAAAAATAATTAAAAAATTTCTTCACAACTATTCTTATCAGTAGTATGAAGAAGCAAAGATGAGAATTATTTTTGTTTATTTCTTATTTTTTTTAATCGGCGATATAACGCGAAAGAGACTAAAATCTTTTACTCTTTCACATCAACAAAGCTGAACATTGTTAGTAAAAATCGGGAAAATTAAATTTTAAAAGTTATAATTTTTATATCAAGAAAGCTGAAAAATTAATCTGGCAATGTAGTTAAGAATCAAATTTAAATAATATTACCATTGATCCCTGTTAAAATAATTATTGATATACAAGGTGTCCCAGCAAGTTGAAAAAGTTCATTAGTGACCTTTAAATGGTGAAATTAAAAAAAAATTGTATAGAAAATTGATAGTTACTAATCTAGTGCATCACCTAAAATTACATATTTTCAACATACAGCATGTCCCAAAAATAAGTTACGATCCAAACTTGCGTTTTTTTTAAAACACCGTATGTTTCTTGGAATTTTTTGATGTAGCCTTTTAAAACAATGTTTTTACGCTAAACTTTTATTTTTTTAATATCTATAAATGTCCTATACAGGGCTGTTCGTTTTTCGAGCTCCACCATGGGGATCTCAGTTATTATAATAGATATGAGGTCGGTTAAATTAGAGCAAAGTTGCGCATTTTTAAGCTGAACAATAATAATCTAAAAGAAAATTTAATGTGTCAATATTAGTTTTTGAATTATTGGAAAAAAAAACGGAAATTTGTAATTTTCGTTTTTATTGATTCAAGCGAAAACTAAAAGACAGACGTTTTTAACTAGGACGTTCTTAAGGCACTTTTTTCCAAGGACTCTAAATCTGTCATTGTACTTTCCAAGGCGTTCTTGATGTCAGAGTTACAACACTCAACTTTGGATTTTCTTATGGACGCCATATTCGATTTCTGTATTTTTGAAAAGTCTTTTTGTTCCTGATTACAACGATGTATCTCATGATATGATCAAATTTTACATGCTGATTAAAATTAAGAAAACGCAGTTGAGACGATGGCACAGGTATTACGGCAAATATACCGATATATTGACGATGTTGCCAATTTTACCTTACACTTTTGGGCTAATAACTTTGTTAAATATAACAATAAATTTTTTAATACATTTTTTAGAAGTGTTTTGAAAGATATCCTAGATATACTAGAGAGCTTATACGTCTCCTTGTATACACCCTGTATAGACTGATATCTTAAAAATCAGTAACAATTTAAATTTTATGAGGTGAAAAATATGAGGTTTTAATTAAAAACTTCGATAAAAAGTTACAATTTCATTTGTTAATTTATTTAAAAATATGAAAAATATTAAGTAATAATATTTGCGATTTAATACTTTGGTATGATGTGTTGTTAAAAATCGATCCGGAATTTGAAAAAGAAAGTGAAATAAGAACGAGAAGAAAAAACGATTTTTCGACTATGAAGCTGAAAATGAACATTAAAACGAGAAAGAAAAATTTTTAATAATTTTTTTAATTATATATTAGATGTTTTTTTTAAATATCTTTGGAAGACAGGTTTGCTCATTTACAATCCCACAGTAACGACTTCATTCAGTACAACATTTCAAAACTAAAAAATGTAGGCGAAAATATCAATAATTTTTGTCAAAATCTCCATTTTAAACTATATCCCAATCTAGAGGTGAAAGTTTTTCAAAATTAAAAATTACTAGAAATTTTATGAGATCTTTTTTAACCCAAGATTACCTAAGTATGATTTGAATTGAATCTTCACTAGCATGTAAATTAGAGTAGGCACACCAACTTAATTAACAACTCTGTTAAGGACCTAAGGCATACTTATTCATTATTTATAACTGTTAATAAATTTTGCCTATTTTTTTAGCTCTTATTTTTAGAGTTTCTGCCTCACTCTGGGAAAAAGCACCACACGACTCTGAAAAAAGCTCAAATAACATGACCGCTGCTAACAAAACGTTTTGTTATGATATCTAACTTAAATTAATACTCAAAAAATTCCAACGCTTGCGAATAGATAAATAAACAAGTTCAAATCTTTATTTTTGTTAATATTTTTGTGTAAACGAGAAGAAGTGAAATTTTAGGTAAGTACGCTATTCATATGTCGTCCCATTCAAACGTACTAGAAGATAAAGTCAACATAAGTAATGTTAATATATCCATACTAGGTAGCAAAAGCAAATATACAGAACCGACCATCAGAGGATAAAGATAGTTCTTGCAGAAAACAAGTCTTTTTTCATGTAGTGACATGTTGTCCCATTTTCCTAGGTTCATTAACAAAACACAAATCCGAATTCAATCAAACTTAAAAATAGCGACTTAACCCAGATACACTAGTGAAAAACAGAACACAACTTGCGACATCCTTTACATAATTTATTATACGTTAAATTTAAATCGTCAATTTTTGCACAAAATGCAACAAAACCGCCAATCAAGGTCAATAATCTCAAATTCAAGAAAAATCCATGTGGAGGAAGCAGATCTCCTTGTTAAAAGTTGACGTCATCTCGCATTTATGTCTGCAATAAAGGTAAAGAAAACGGTCTAGGTCATAATCCCTACGAAATTGGACAAAAATAACCGCCACGTGACCCGAAAAAGACAACATTGGATCGAATCCAGGTTTGGCAACGATCCAAGATGATTCAACTAATCCATATTTCGATCGATCGAACTTGACCCTATTTCAAGAAGATTTTACGACTCAATCGGAAGGAAATTAAGCCGAGTGATGGAAGAAACGCCGCACCTTGACTTGACCCAATATCCAGACTATTTTCAGCAAATGTCAACGAAATATCAACGAGGGAGCGTGCAATTCACATCCAGAATCCAATTTATTAGACGCACTTAATCCCGTTGTGATAAACCATAAATTTTTAATGTTTGTTTTTAGACGCTTCAAGGACGCGAAAAAGCACTCTTCTTCGTTTAAAGTTAAACTTAAATGTTTATTAGCGGGACAAATTGCGCTGATTATTAAATTGTTGCAAAATTGCGTCGCGCTGCGTAGGTGAAAGCTTTCAGCTCTTGTGCTAAAAATAAAGCGATTACCTGTTATTTCCAATCACTAAATCACTGTTCACTGGAAAATTCGTGAAAAAAAGTGAGTGTAACGCGCTAGGTTTAACTTTTAAACCTGGTTTTGCAAAACTGGAACTGATCCCGCGCACGATCTCGCCCCGAATCGCGCGCAATCGGTTGTACCATGACCATCGCGACTTGACCATCTGAACTGACCATGGAGTCGAATGTGGTAGGGAAATGTTTTGTGACGTGGGTTTATGGAGATATGTGAGGTGAAAGAGGTCTAGGTCATGAAATATCTTGAAACTAGATTTTTTCAAAATTTGTTGTTGTTTATGGGAAAATTTTTTGATAGGCGTAAATATGGATTATCTCGGTGTCAAGGCTGTTAACTCCTTAATCCTAATTGGTGCTACAAAACGTCATCCCCTAAAATTATTAGATCTTGTGCTTAATTATCGACTATTCACCGGAAGAAATAAGAAGTTTAATTTTAAGCTTAATGATAGGTATTAAAGCTGTCTCGTTAACACTTAATACCGTCGTATCTTAATTATGATTGGAGTAGATTTATTGCAGATAAATTTACATTGCAATTATCTCGATATTCATTAGGCAGCCAGCTTAACAAGATTATCTCACAGTCTGTAGACACTAAATACAGGATGTTTCAAAACTCGCGCCCCAGAGAAAAATGCCACGTATACAGGGTGTTAAAAAAAGATTGTAAAATATTAGTATAGACCAAAATAAACAAAAAAGTCTAGAACTTCTCTTTTTTATTTGAACAGATTGCAAACAAATCTTTCAAAAAACGAATAATCTTGATATTTCTGAAACTATTACTTTGTGGACATGTTTACTAAAACTTTTTTGTTTATTTTGGTCAATACTATTACCTCCTGTATATTATCAGATATCAAGAACAAGAAAAAAATTTTTCAAAAGGAAATAAATAGTTTTTACTCTTAAAATTAAATGAACTGAATATTTTGAAAAATTATTTAACATTATTTCACTTTATTATTTTCTTATGTTATTATTAATTTTGTCGGTTGGGCGAAAAATTTTGTATGCATCTCTGGAATAAACATCGACTCCCTTCAATTGCCTCTGTCATTACCTACAATTAAATAGTTGTTTATTCTCTTGATAAATAAATCACTATCATTTAATAACAGTTTTAGTCATCTTTGACGGAATCTCCCAGTTTTTGTGCGACGATTTTTCCAAAGGTGTCCAAAATAAGATAAAATATTAATTTTTGTAAATCTACTTATCTACAATAAATGTTTTGTAGCCAAAAATTTGCGGGGCTTGTAGTTTTACATGTATCAGTCTATATGTGTTTTTTTGTTGTTTTTTTTTATTTCTCTTTTGGGTTAATTTATGAACCTGTACGAGTACATATTATGTGTAGGTTTCAAAGTTAGCATCCGTTTCCTGATGAATTATTTAACGTTTTGATTAATCCTTTAACACGCAACACGTGTTAAAAGATTTTTGAATATTCAACAAGAATTTATTAGAGCTCATTGTGTCTCATGTGAGTTTATTTGTTGTTTGAATTAGAGAATTGAATTTTTTTCGTGTCCACGTTCGTATATCAATTTTGTGGTTGAGTAAAGTAAATAATGTCTTTCTTTTTTTCTTCAGTGTGTAACAATGGCACTCTAGTGTATACAAAAAAAAAAAATTGGTTTTCAAAATTACCATTATTTGAACAAGAAATTATCTAGATAACAATCCACAGAAAATACGTTTTGTGTCTACAAGTACTCAAAAAGTCGAGCACCATTTTGAAAATTTAAGATAGATAATAGTGTGACTTTTGAAGAAGTGAAGTTTGTACTTACAGATTTTGTTAATTCTGACTTTTTTCCAAAATTATTATAAATCTTATAATGCATATGCTTCTGGTGCGCGATTTATTGAGCGCCCTGTACCGGGGGTGGCATCGGTTACGCGACTTCTAATTAATTAAACCTGGCGATATTTTATACAGGGTACGATAGAATTTTGACATTTGACATTTTTTTATATCTATTTAATGATACTGATGATCTTGTATATGTTTTTTTACAATTATTTAGTAAAGGGACAAAAATTTTGCCAATAAAAGCCACAAATAACATTGAACAGAGTTACAATTTAGGATACAGCTTCCTTGTTTCCTCCTTTAATAGCCTATAGCAAAAAAACTTGGAAAATTATTTTTCTAACAGAAATAAATAGAGTCAAAGTGCAAAATTTAAACCCTAATAACTTTGAAGTTTTTATAGATAGAATTTTTTTAACATTTTTTTCATGTTCCTAGTATCTTACCTTACATTTTTTTTTCTCTGGGGTGCGAGTTCTGAAACACGCTATATCGGTTTAGTATGTAGTTACAGTATAGCAATAATTCTTAGTTAAAGTACTCGTAAGTTCATTATCTATTCAATTTCAAGCAAATAGAATTATTATTAATACTGTTATCTAAAATTTGAACAAACTTGATAAGAAATTAAATGTATTCCTTAAATTAATTTATTCATTTATAAAATCTAATATAATATTGAGAGTTTCATAAAATTTAAAAGTTAAATCCATTTTATGCATATTTACTTGTCAATATAATTATAAATATGATTAATAAATATATTTTTTATGTTATAATTACTATAACATCACGCAGTAGTGGAATATTGCAGATGTATCAGTTGCAAAATTTCAGTCAAGTTGTATAAATTATCACTGTATTTTGTATGATATCATATTATTTAATACAAAGGAGTAAAACTTTTTTGTTATATGGAAAGTAACTGTTACCATGTAAACAGTTAAAAACAATTAATTTTTTTTCACAAATAAAAAAAAAGAATCTGCAGTACTACAATAATATTCGCATACCTATTTTGTTAGCGCATAGACAGAAAATAATTGCAAACACTTCAATTATGATAAAAAATATTTCTGTTTATTTAATCAGGCTAATGCCCTGTATAGGTACTTCAAAAGTTACAACAAATGTCATTAAATTTCTCAATGAATAAGATTTTATCGCAAAAGATCATCCGGTTGAACAATTTTGAAATAAGTTCATCTAATCAACAAATGCAGTTTCAGATTATCTTTAGATAATTTCTAGACCACATCACTTCTGACTTCTAAAAATATGACTAATAATAATTTTAGAAAATAAAAAATAAAACTGAGAGTTTTGTGTCATGTTGGTAAATGTTAGTTTTCTACTTTTTTCTTTTTCAATAAAATAACAAACAAAATGAAACTGAGTTGATTAAAC